TGGCAACACAGCAAGTCCCCAGTACAAGTTTACCAACCATAGGCATTCAAATGTTGTCATTCAGCCTCCATCTCCAAAAAAATCATGAGCTTAGCTGAAAAATCCCTAGTTTTTTAAATAATGAATGTTTTTACCCTTCTGGGCGCATTTGATTCACTTTTTCAGACTTTCTGCTGCAACCATGAGGTTAGAAAGTAACTTTATGTATAAAAGTTATAAAAGGCGGTGATTCTCTTCAGATGGAAGGCATCCTAGTGCTGCCAATCATAATGGCTACGTCTACACTGGCCCCTTTTCCGGAAGGGGCATGTAAATTTCACCTATCGTAGTAGGGAAATGCGCGGGGGATTTAAATATCCCCCGCGGCATTTAAATAAAAATGTCCGCCGCTTTTTTCCGGCTTTTAGAAAAGCCGAAAAAGAGCGTCTACACAGGCCCCGATCCTCCAGAAAAAGCGTCCTTTTCCGAAGGATCTTATTCCTACTTTGAAGTAGGAATAAGATCCTCCGGAAAAGGGCGCTTTTTCCGGAGGATCGGGGCCAGTGTAGACGCTCTTTTCCGGCTTTTCTAAAAGCCGGAAAAAAGCGGCGGACATTTTTATTTAAATGCCGCGGGGGATATTTAAATCCCCTGCGCATTTCCCTACTACGACTCATGAAATTTACATGCCCCTTCCGGAAAAGGGGCCAGTGTAGACGAGCCCAATGTGAGGCAGGGATGTCTTTTTATTTTGTGTTTGTACTGCACTTTGCACATAACTGAGCTTCAAGTGTGTTATCTGACATGGGAATATGCATCTGAATCTCTTATAGTCCTATCTAATTTAGGGTGATATGGATTTGTCTACAATTGAAAGAATCAGGCAGAGTTTGAATATTTACACAGGTCATCATGTAACCACAGGACAGACGATTTTGCATTAATCTGTAATGTTAAGTACTTAATCAACAAGTTAAATATTCTTCAGGTTCACAGCTCGAGTGACAACATCTGAATAGTGTTCTGTGAATTAAGTGGGCTTAAATCTAAGCACCATTAGTGTTTTCTTATTACTGCTGACAGATGTAACTAGGGTTTCAGGTATGGAGATTAATTCCAGGGAGTAGATAATGTATTAAATCCAGCTTTGGTGGGTTTTTTTTGTTTAAGAATTGGAAAAATTTATCTAAAAGACCAAAGTATTAGAAACATGTGGTATTAGTGTTGTTTATTTGGTATCTTACTAAGGAGCCTTCTCTTGCCCGCCTGTACATTGTTTGGTTTATTGCACAGTAGGTCTGTTCCCATTAGAACATTATCGTTATTGCTACAAAATACTCACAGGACAATGAACAATGATAGTCATAATTTTTAAAGTACCTAGTTCTTCGTGTCTCTGGCTTCCTGTCTGCTTTGTTTCTTTTTCTGGTACTTATATGAACCTGTTTCCATAATATCCAAGCATGTTGTGCTCTTTAGTGTACTTAAGCTCTACACAGCCCTGTGATATGGAGCTATTTTAAGCCATTATCTCCCTTCCACAGATGGGGAAATATGACCAACCAGGTCACACAGGAAGCCTGACAGGCCAAGGAATTGAACTAGACTTTCTTAAATGCTAGGCTAGTACCATACCCATTCATTCATCCCTCCTTCCTCTTTAATGAAAAGTAATCTGCACAAGCCCTGATCCTTCAATGTGCAAATTGTAGGTAGACTGCTACACCAAGAATGGAAAACCATTAAAATCAGTAGGTGCTGCGCAAATGCAACCATCTGTTACAGGATCATGGCTTTTGACTATAAAGTCTGCAGGGAGGAGACTGGTTTAGATTCATGAAGGCAGTTAGACACCTCAATCCCACATTTATCACTACAATCCACAAAACGACTGCTTGGCTGCTCCCTAATCCTATAGGTACCTACATTTACTCAGTACCTAAACTTTTGCTGTAAAAATTCTTTGATTACGTAAGTCTCTACCTCTGCTTATGCCCATTGCAGCCTCACTTTAGGCACTTGGAAGTCCAAATCTCAAATGAGGGGAAGATAAGCAGGGGCATGAACAGTGAGTTATATGGGCTCATGGTGCCCATGCTCCAGCACTATTCAGAGCCGGGGGCCCTGCTCCAGCAATATTTGGAACTGGGTCTCTCTCCCGGCCCTGCCTGGACCGGGCCCTGGCCCCCACCTTCCAGCCCCCCCGCATGTCCTCCCGCCCCAAAGCGTCCCCCCTGACCCCAGCCCTGCCGTGCACAGTTTTCAGTCCGGCTCCTCCTTGCTGGCATGCGCTGCCGGCTGCTGCCGCTATGTGCAGTGTTTACAGGTGAACGGGGAGACACCCGGGCGTGATGTGACATCATGGCCCGGGACTTTAAAACTGCTCAGTGAGGCATTGCGCCACATGGCCTAGCTCCAGGTTCAGAGTCCAGGGACTTCTGGGGCCCGAGCGCAGACTCTGGTCCCGCAAAGTGGAAGGCAGAAGGCAAGGTAAGGGGAGGAAGGGGCTTGTGCAGAGGGGGAGAAGGAAAATAGGGGAAGGGGTGGGGGAGGAAGGGGCTTGTGCGGAGGGGGAGGGGGAAGAAAGGGGAAGGCACCAAGGGACAGCATGGAGGAGAGACAAATGCCAGGGGGCCAAGTGCAGACAATGAGGAAAATGGCAGGAGGGGAGGTGTCAGTGGGAGGGGGGATAGGGTGATGCTGGGAGAGGAGAGAGTAAGGGCATTGGGGGCTGGAGGGAGAGGTGCTGGGAGAAGGCTTTAAAGAAGGGGTGGGCATGAGAAAGGTGGGGATGGAGCAAGTCATGTGTGAGAGCACAGAGGGGCATGAGGGAAATGGGAGCAGAGAGTGGTAAGGGGGTGGGCATAAGAGAAAAAGAGGGTGGAGCAGTAAGGGAAGGGGGAGGCACCAGGAGGGTGCAGAGTAAGGGAAGGTGCAGGTGCCAGGCGATTCTGGGGGTGAAGCAGAAGGGCAGACACCTGCAGGGGAGAGACCAGCACCAGAGGAGAGAGGCAGGGCAGGTGTGTAGAGAGAGGTGTTAGAAGAGGGGATGAGGAGGGGTAGCTCACATGATCAGAGTGGGGCTACTGGAGGAGTGGGCACAGGGGGAGGGGAAGGCCTGGTGGATGGGAGGCAGGTTGCAGGAGGGCTGAGGGCAGTGAGACGGGCAGGAGTCAGGACAGCAGAGGAGGGTGAGGAGTGGGGGGACAGCAGGCACCAGGGGAGCTGATGGAGCAAGGGGAGGAGACATGGCAGCAGAGAGAAGGTAAAGGTTTATAAAATATTTATTAATAACTTGGGTGTGTCAGTGGCACATCCAAACAAGCCACATGAACTCAGTACTGGTGCACAACACAAAATTCATTCTGCTCATGGGAGGAAATTCTTAAGGCTATGTCTACACTGACAGCTTCTTGTACAAGAACATCTTGCGCAAGGGTTCTTGTGCAAGAAAACTTGCACAAGAACACGGCCACACTGCCATGTGCGAGCTGTGCTTTTGCGCAAGAGCATCCATAGCAGTGTGGATGCTCTCTTGCGCAAGAAAGCTCCGATAGCCATTTTAACCATAGGGGTTTCTTGTGTAAGAAATCCCTGCCGAGCATCTACATTGCCCTCTTGCTCAAGAGAGCTTACACCTGTTAGAAAAGAGCGTAGCTCTTGCACAAAACGCCCTCTCTTACCACGCCGTACTGTAAATTTCCTTGCTCAAGAGCAGGCGGGCAGTGTGGATACTGTGTGGGTTCTTACACAAGAACGGCTGTACTTGTGCAAGAAGCTGCGAGTGTAGACATAGCCTTAAAGGGAACACTGCCCCCAGCCTCTCTGCCCCCAAGTTAATGTCACACACATTGGGTTAATGCAATTGCAGGATAGTTGCATGAGGGGAGTTTGGTAGGTGCCAAACTAATCCCTGTTGGTAGGAGAATGGTGGGAAAAGTCCTTTGAGAGGGGCTCTAAGGACTTAGGTGATAAGGCAGAACCTAGGTCATAAAGCCAGAACTTTCAAATTACTGTGTTAGGTCCTTTATAGATGACACTGAGATTTCAGGCACCAAAATCCATAGTCAGACACATTCAGTAAAAGTGGTCTGAGTTTTCAGAAGTGCTAAGTGCCCATTGAAGCCTACTGGGGCTGGCGGCTCTCAGTACCTCTGGTTGGTTGGTTGTTTACTTCTGTAAAGCCCCTGATGCTAAGTAATTAGCCAAACTATTACAATAAGTAACATGCTAAAGTAAAAGTAATTGCTGCAGAGGGTGAACAAGCTCACTTGTAAGCCAAAGCTGATGTCCAGGATGGGTCCAAGGACAATGAATCCCCCCTCTTCAGTCCTGCTGGGGGGGAAATCTTCCCAGAGCCCCGATAAAAGAAAGCCCTGAATGCCAGGCAAATAGTTGCCAGATTTGGCTAGAAGGGGGTGGAGCTTGGCTAAGGGAAAAAAGAGCATTTGCTACTGGTGTAACCGTTAGCTGCTATTAGCAGGGAACCCGGTGCACACTTTGTGAATATTTTAAGTCTAATTTAATTTAGCCCTTGGATTAGGTGCACACTATTTATAAGTACAACATGCAACGATTCCTCCCTACTTGTGGCAGGTGGGAGCCAGCTGCGCTCAGTCAGTGAGAGCTGTGCGTGCTTCTGAGTTTTGCCTTTGCCCGGCTGCAGGGTGAAGCTGGGGCCCCGCATGCCAGGCAGCGCCAGGTCCTCAGCACGCACAGAACGGACCCGAGCGGTCTGACTTCCCGAGTGCTTTTGAACCGGCAGGGCGAGTGTCTCCCCCGAGCCCCTCGTGACCAAGTGGTTTGTTCTGCCGCGAGGGCTCTCCCTTTCCGAGAGGTGAAGTTGGTCTCTTCCACTGGACACAAAGAAACCGCTTCCAAACGTCCACGCAGGAGGCCGAGCCGCTGCGCTGCGACACGTGACGGGGGCTGTGCGCGCGCGGGGAGCCCTGGCTCCTCGGTGTCAGTGCGGCGCTTGCTTCTCGGTCTGGACGCCATGGCTCTGGTGGAATCCGCGCTGGTCTGGCAAAGCGACCACAGGAGTAGAGCGTTGCGGGAGGCAGGGGCAGCCAGGGCGTGCAGCCAGCCTGTGGCATCCGTGTGGGCTGGAACCTTTCTGTGCAGGCAGCAAGAGGCAGCGCCAGCCCGGCAGAGGGAGGCGCTGTGAAAACATCCAGCAGGCAGGACGAGGGGCGGTTGAAAGCAGAACTGCCAGTTAACTCCAGGATACTAAGTTCTTGCTGGTGCCCTGGGTTATGAAAATTGAGCATGAAGCGTTGGGCGTGCTCAGAGTGGCAACTGAATAACAGACGCTGTTCTACTCTGATCTCTATAGGCCTCCTACTAGCCTCATTATGGTGGTTATTATTTCATTAAAGTAATAGATCTTTTGTGTTGGGTTAGAGAACATGACCTACAAGACTGAGACTGACTCTCCACCCTTCTTAGATGGCTGACTCGCTCTTAACAAAACGCGCATCTTCGGAGACCAAAAAACAAATTGTGCTGCTAGCGCCCAATCCTGCAAAGTGCAGTGTCCCGGCTACTCCATCTGACGTCCATGAGAGTTGTGAGGGCTCAGCAGCTGGCAGGGTCGTTACAGAGAAGACACAGAGTCTGGCTGGTTTGGAACATAGCACAACACCTTGCTGTGCATGGGAATAATACCACTATGGTTAAATGTTGCCATTTCACCTGAATGAGAAGTTGTCCACCTATGCACTACAGTGCCTGTAATGCTTCTGTACCAGGCACACACTTCATTTTTTAAACAGGTCAGAATTTGAGTCTTAATTGCCTCACATTGGTTATGATGATTTGTGGGCTTTGCCAGATAATCAGCCAAAAGCTGAAAGCATTGATGTTAGCAGCACTATATACTGGTATGAATAATGAAATAATAAGATGATGCACTATTTAGATTTTAGTGGCATCTAAGTGCCAGTCAGGATAAGAAGAGTTAGTTGCTACCCAAACTCTAAGGAAAAGTCTTGGCCTCTATCCTGCAAACACTCTGTGCGTGATTAATTTTACTCCTGTGAATAGTCCCTTTGAAGCCAAACCATCTTTATTCTATGCCATCTTCAGACAGTAGCCCAAAATGTGCAGAGCTTTACATATTTTAAGCAGGATTTTCTATTTGCAGTTTTATTTCCTTGCCCGTTTGTGAACGTTTGCTGCATATTCAAATACATGGTGAGATCTTAGAAATTTTGTGGGTAGGTTCTTTACTAGAAGTGATGTAAGCCAAGAAATCTGACTGTGTGGAGGATTCAGAGGTATAGGTGTGTAATCATTTTAGTTTTTCTTTTAAACTATAAAGAACACTTTTACTAGCTATGTTGCATTATCTTTCATGCAACTTCTCATACACATGCTTTCCCAGAGACCCTGTTACTTTCTAAAAGGAGAAAGCAGAACCAGTCTGGAATTTCCACTTAACTCAAGTTGCTATGCCTTTACAAGAGGGGCCATGAAAGCTGTGTATTGTTTTCTTTTGTATCACTCTATGTTTGTTTATCCTCTTTTGATCATTTAGTGTAACATATATTCTAAAACCCTAATCCCCAAAGCACTTGCTTCTGAGTGTAATGCTTGCTACCAACAGTAGTTTGCTGAAAGCAATGAAAATATGTTTTCAGGACTGTGCCACAGAGAAATAGCAAATGTTATCCTGAAGATGTTGCATTGCATCAGAGACTTATGGAAACTGGCTGATTTCTCCAACAATGGAAGTGGCTTTTGCTAATGCATCAGTCCCCTTCAGGAGCTACTCAGTATGGCTTGTGTTTGCAAGAGTTCATGGCTAGAGTTAGGCAGATCACAGAAAGCCCAGAGAGAGATTATCCTCCAAAAATAACCTAAATGTCAATTTACACAAATAAAAAACCTTGAGCCACCTTCCCCATTAGTCTCATGAGAAAAGTAACTGTTGTTAAAGGGTTCATATGTTGTTTGTGTCTGGGGCTGTGCCTTTATTCTTCTGCTGGCAAGAGTTTGCACAGAAATAGGAAAATTACAGGTGGTAAAGTTTAAATCTCCTGCCCTGTTCCCTCTGTTAAGATACAGGATTGAGTGAAATAAGGGCAGAATATTTCATCCTGTTGTTCTTCAGTGGGTTTGCTGTAACACAAAGACTTTTTGCTGTTAGTTGCTCTGCATGCTAGCAAATGATGCAGATACTGCAAGCACAGAGACTTGTCAAATCTAAGAGGCTCATTCTTTGTAGAGGTGAACTCCGTTACCAGGATATTTGATGCATGCAGGGATAAAGGTGTTAGTCTGTTCACATCTAAGACACAGTTTGCAGGCTGCTGGTAATGGTGGCCCCATAAATGTGCCTGTCATGCTACCTAAGTCTTTAAATATCCAAACTCAAAATAGATGTTTGTGCAACATGTTGGGCCCAGCGCTATTGTTTTGTTGGATAGTATTCTTCATTTTGCTTCAGCCAGCTGCTCTCTATATTCAGCTTAGAGGAACTGACTGGAATTTTCAACCAAGCAGACTGAGAGATGATAATTTATGCCTTACTTTGAGAAACCAGTGCATTAAAAGTACAATGAATAAACATCCACTAGAAACTCATTCAACCCAGTGACTCAAAAACAAATACGCCCATTAAACATTAATTCCAGTATAAGTTGTATCACATGATGTTACTGGTACCTTAGTCAGGACAGGTGATGGTAATAGGTTAGAGAGGGCATTGTAATATAATAGGTGTATGGCTCCCACTGCCTTCTGCAGAATGGACTGGACCTGTGTGTTTGTGATTACATTGCCCTCTAGTGGCAGATTCCCAAAGAGGTTAAAATCCTAATGCTACTAAACAACTCCTAGCAAGAGGTTCTTGTCTTGGTGTTACGACATGAAATGGTGTCGTGTTAGTTACAGCATGACATAGGACATCGGGAATGCTTTAAACTGGCATGGGGCTGGCAAATTTTTTGCAGCCTTAAGTTACTGCATTTTTATGGAAAGTATTTTTACAGAAAAGCAGTTTTTTATTTTCATTCTGTTCTCAAACCATTTGTAGACATTGCATAGTGAGTAACAATACGTACAGTCCAGCTGCAGATTAATGATTAACTCACAGGCTGTTAGTTGCCCCAAACTCTCTTGCAGTGTTTGGCACGAGTTTTGAAGCCACAAAACCAGACATACCCTCTTTACGATGTGATTGCTGTTCAAAGAAGTTGAATGTTGTTCATAATGTCCCGTGAAAGCAAACAGGATATTTGAATGAAGGGGTAGACGTATGTGTAGACCTCAGTGTTTTCTCTGCTGGCATGAAACTGCAAGTCAGCTTGTGTATTATCCTGGGACAGTAGTTTCCCTAATAGTGGATTGTGACATCCTCTCCTGCCAAAGAGAGTGCTGACATTTGTTTGTTAAACTGAGCCCTGGCATAAATTAGCACAATTTTAACTTCAGAGGAGATATGCCCACAAATACCAGGTCTTAATTTGGCCCCATACTATGCCTTTAGCTTTCTGCTGAAGTGGTTTTGCTCAGTCGCTTATAACAGCTCCCTACCAGGAATACTAGTGAGCCATTGGGCTGCTTGTGAGCATGCCCCACAGAACCCAGCAATACTTTCTTTGAAATACCAGAAAAGGATTTTAATGCATTTAAAGAGGACTGGCTGCAGTGGCCTGAGCATTGGATTATGGGATGAAAAAGTTGTAAATACAAAGGCATACCGTACTTAGAGATGATTTCTCCTCTTTTGCCCCCATATCTAGTTGAGAAGGCTGTGCAGTATTAAAAAGAGACCATTATAGTTTAACAACTATGAGATGAGGACAGACAGGCAAGTTCTTCACATTATGAGCTCCACTCTTGTCTCAGTTACACTGATGTAAATCAGGAGTAACTCATATGAAGTTATACATGTAATGAGAAAAGTCAGATTCTATCTGTTTACTAGTGAAGACCAGATTCTGCTTTCTTTTACATCAGTGCAAATCTGGGGAAACTCCATTGTGACCCAGTGCTACATGATACTTTCAGTCCCAGCGTAGTTTGTTTTATATTAAGAGAAAATGACAAAACCTGAAAGAGGAAAGGTAACACTTGCATGAGAGATCACAGTGCGTTTGCTTATCCGTCACACATTGTGCTCTCTCAGCACTCATACACATATTGTTGATTATATGACAGGCGTGCCTGCTGTAACAGAGGAATGGGCTTGATGACCCATGAGATCCCATCTAGTCCTTTGTCCTATTTATGGCTGTGTGTCTGCTCTATAAAAGGCTGTATTTGAACTGAACATAAAATGGCAGCTGCCTCCAAAAGAATCTTAGAGATTTTAATGTCTATGTAAATGCAGTTTGCTCCTGCACTTCTTAGATGTGTTAGATATTCAGCTGATAGAGTGGTTAGTTCATTGTAATCAGCTTGGCTGGTGTTGTCACAAATTGTGTTAATATTAATTGCAATGTCTGTAATTATTGTGAGAATACAAAAGAAGAAAGTCTGTTTTTAACCTGGCACAAAGGAGGGTAACACTTTTAGTGTAAAGAATGAGATTCATGTAAATACAGTTTGCTTCTGTTTGCTTAGATCTGCTAGATATTCAACTGATGCTCTGGTGTTTTGCCCGTAGTAATCAATTTGGCGGCTGTGGGTCACTAATTGTGTTAACACTAAATGCAGCAATTGTGAAATAAGATCACCAATGCTTGTAATTACTGTGGGAAAGTCAGATGGTGTTTAATCTAGTTCAAAAGGAGAGAGATCCTGTCAGTGTAAAGAAACTTGTATGGACAAGAGGCTCCACTGCCATGCTCTGTGAAGTGTGGGAGGGCAGGACTATGAGTCAGCAGCCTGCATGCCCTCCAGGCATGAACTATAAGACTGGTTCAATCTGTTTCTTCCCATGCTTTCAATGATAGAGCTAAAATAGGCTCCATACAGAGTCTCTCTTATTATTTTAACTTCAGTGTATTTACTACTACTACTTCAGTGTATGCAGAAATTTCTTGTGGCTATCTTTTCTTTGGTCCAAGAACTGAAATCACTGAGAGCTGAAATCGCTGGGATTTGCCCAGAGCCAAATACACAAGCTGCTGGCAGCTGTGAGAGGTGGGCCAGTGGGAGCAGTAGTAAGCAAGTGGCTGTCAGGGTGGTCAGCGGGAGAAGCAAGCAGGTGGCCAGCAGGAGAGAGTGGCAAGGTGGTGGTGCTGCTACGAACAGCCAGCAGGCAGATGGCAAATGACCAGCAGCATAAGTAACATTTTTTACCTTCCTCACTCAGGATGGTAGGTGAACTCTGCAGATGCACCTCTGAACTCTGGGTCTGCCCAGACCAATGGCAGCAACTGTGAGTGGGGTGCAGAGAAAGGTTGGGCAAGTGAAAGGGACTTTTATTCATGGTTTTATTTATGAACCCTCTTTGTGGTGGTTTCCCAAATTAATGCCAAATTACTTCCCTCCCTTATAGAAAAGTTTCTTTCCTATACTCAGACTCTGTTCTTGCGAGTGGGCAAGCATTGCCTCTCAGATGTGCCCATGAGTAGTGTGTGAATTTCCCAGGTTACTGGGTGGAGGCTCAAGCCAGTTCTGTGTTGGATGGGAGGAGAGGAACCCCTGCATATTGAACCTGACCCTGGCTACTGCTGGTACTACCTGGCATAAGTGAAAACAAAATAATCTGTCACATGCCTACATACGCAACTCACCTTCAGTACAATTACTGGATTTAAACAAAATAGAACTTTGCCTTTATCCTTTTAAGCAAAAACAATTATTTAAAATAATCACATTT